AATACTTAGTACGCATTATATTACGTGATGTTTCATATCTCTCACAATATAATATATAATTAAAATGGATACATTTTTCTCAAACCAATTATTTTTGATCAGTGTCTCCAATCAATTGAAAAGAAGCCTATCCCCCAATGTATGTATTTCCATCATTCGAGAATGATATCAAATGTCAACAAATTTTTTGTATAACCATGATACCGCATTTTTATAAACAACCAAGAGATTAGGTTAATGTATGCAACACTCCCTTAGTAAGGGTGATGGTTAGGATTGTATAAAATATTATTCAATTCGTTAAAATCATATTGATTTGTATCAATTTACACTGCTCTATTCACTAACTGCAGTTTAAATTTTAAAATTTATAATCCGACTTTAAAATCGTCCGCTTCGCTATAGTTAATACATATATATTTTTTAACCTATAATGAAATATCAAAATAAAAATGAATGTGAAAGAGATTTAATATGTGAAATTTATTACAAATTAGTTATGTATATGAAAAATATTATGCAAAATTAGTTTGTGTTATATATATGAAAAATATTATGCAAATTAGTGTTATATATTATTGCAAAGACTTAATAATTGGTTAAAATATTCTTTAATCAGACAATCCGCTCAAAACCGCTCAAATCGCAATTTGTCAATCCGTTAATCTGTCATTCGATTTATAAGTTTACTCTCAAATCGTCTGAATTACGCTGCGCACTCCCTTAGTGATGGTTATGTTCAAGCCTTATCATTGTGTTATATAATATATTAATTCTCTTATTCTCTTCTTACTTATTGCTAAAAATAAAATAAATGAAACCTTCTCCAAGATTGTAGGACATGTCCATGCGTTGCACATTTAGGGACACATGCTGTAATCGAAATTTCAGGACCACCAACCTAGGCAAAGCTTTTTTTTATTATTATTATTTTTATTTAAGGAAAGGATGCCTCAAATCATATTGTGGTTGGGGTGATTTGTTGTACAAGTCCCTCGTTTTTTAAAATTATTTTTTAGGTACATGTCATGTAATTTATTTTTTGGGGTATTTTATGAAATGCATAATGATTTTTTGTACAATAAATTACCTATAATATATATATATATATATATATAATTTATAAAGTTTATAAAGTCACAAGGAAAATGATTGATAATATATAACAGCTTTCACCATGACAAACATATGTACTCATACATTTATTTATTTTTATATTTCTACCTAGATTATTACTTCGTTTGAATTCATGTACATGATGAATTATATTTTTCATGAGCTGTGCATGCCATGACAAATTATTGTCTTAATGCCAACTTCCAAAAATAAATAAATAAAATTTATATGTTTGAAAAATAAATTACTTTGGACTTAGCAAAATAAAATAAAATAAAGAAGAAGAAAGGTAATTTTTAAGAAAAAATTTGGCAACATTTTTTTATGAACATTTAATTTTTTTAATAACTTTTTAGGATGTTTTAAGGGCAATTTCTTTTTAAGAGAAGTTCTTAAAAATAATTAAAAATAAGTGATAAATTTTATAAATATTAATAATTAAATCCATAATTTTTTTTATGAATATATAAAAAATTTCTGAAACTAATACTAAAAGGTGATTTCCCCATGTTTAATGTTAAATGCCTTGAATAGTCAAAAACAATAGTTAAGATTTGACAAAAGAAATCAAACAAAAGGCGCACCAAAAATACAAAAAAGGATTACGTTCTACGTGGATAAGAAAACTACAACCCGTCATTCCACTTGTCAATTGGGTCCTAATATTTTGAACATTAACGCAAACCGTAGTGTGTGACACTTGACCAATCAAACATATTGATTCAATAAAGAAAAATTATAAATACCTCAAAAATTTGTTTAAAATGCAGATTATTTTTTGTAATTTAAAAAGTTATAAATACTTTTTTGTTAATATTTTTTATTTAATAAAATTAACTAAAAAATAAAATTCATAATTGGTCTCCTATACAATAATAAAATTATCTAAATTATTAATTGAAACATATTTCTAACATCATTAAAAACTGTTAACTGACTTGATGATTTATTAATAAAAGGGATTTGTTATGAAATTAGAAACCTCAGGGAGAGAATGTAATTTTCAAAACCACAGGAGGCAATTCGTATTTTAATCAAACCTCAAAAGGTGTATTTGTAATTTACCCATTCAATAATTATAAGAATAAATCACAAACACATTTATGAGATTTATTTAAAATATAAATTATTTCTTGTAATTTTAAAAATTATACCACTCTTTCTAAAATTTTTAATTTTATAATAAATACCATACTTTATTAATAAATTATTAAGTTAATTAATATTTTTTAATAATATAACAAATTTATTTTAATTAATAATTTAGATAATTTTACTAAGGGTGTGCAGTTGATATATCAATCTGCCCAAACTGACCAAACTGAACCGATCCGCCGCATTTTGGACAAATGTGTGATGACGAGCAGACGGTTGCGGATTAATTTTTTTCAATCTGCCTAGTTTTGGACGGATGACAAATTTGAATTTCCTTTGGCCACAACCGAACCGCTAAATCGCGAGCACCCCTAGTAATTTGTAAGACTTTGTGTTTTCAATTTGTTTAGATATTTTGTTTGTGTTTTCAATTGAAAAATGGTTTAAATATTCTGTTGAATATATTATGTTGAAAAAGAGTTTTTAACTTGAATATATTTTTGAATTGAAAAAAATAAATGTATTGTTTATCTATATTTTTTGGTTTTTGGCATGCAATGATTGTAATAGTCTAAACTTTCAAACTTTTTTTTTTTTTTAGGGAAGTGTACAAGTGGAATTATGCATTCATCCGCTAATCCGCTCAATCCACATCCGCCGGATTGACAGACGGATGTGGATTGATTTTCTCCAATCCGCCAATTGGACAGATGAATGACGGATTGGAGATTTTGTGGCCGTAACTGACCTGCACCTACCCCTAAATTTTATTATTATATGAGAGCAATTAGAGATTTTATTTTTTCAATTAATTTGGTTAAATAAAAAAATTCTAACAATGAGATATATGCAATTTTTCTAACCACATGGGACAATTCATATTTTAAATAAATATCAAAAAGTGTATTTGTAATGTACCCTAACTATAAGTAGTATGAAAATTGTTTAAAGTTTTGATTAATTCTTCAATAATTTTATTATATGATAATGTGGTGTTTTAAATTAATTACGTAATAGTCGATAAAAAAATTAGGATAAATTACAATTACACCTTTTGAGATTGGATTAAAATACGAATTGCTTCCTATGATTTTGAAAATTACATTTCATCCCTTGAGATTTCTAATTTCATAGCAAATCACCTCTTTTATTAATAAATTATCAAGTCAATTAATTATTTTTTATAATATTAGAAACATGTTTCAAGTAATAATTTAAGTAATTTTATTATTGTATGGGAGAATAATTATGAATTTTATTTTTTTAATTAATTCTGTAAAATAAAATTTTTTGGCAAGAGAGGATTTATAATTTTCTAAATCACATAGAGCAATCTATACTTTAAGCAAATTTCAAAAAATGTATTTATAATTTATCCAAAAAAATAATTATGTAGTAAAAAAAATTTTAAAATTAAATATGCTAATTTATTTTTATTAATAGTTAATGTTACATGATAAAATATAAAATAATTTTCTAACTTCTTAATATAAAAATACAATATAAAATATAAATTTAAAGTTTTTTTATTTAAATATAAATATAAATTTAGTGTATTACAAGTCTTACGTAAAATGTAGGATGATTTGTTTACATGAAAATTTTTAAATTATATTATTTTTTTCTTTAGTTATAGTTAATTTTTTTTAATTATAATTTTATTTTAGTTATGACTTATTAGATTTTCAATTATACCTCTCATGTATTGTTTAATTATAATTTTAAAGGGATGAAATTATATTATTTTATTATTTAATTATAAGTTATATACGATACATACGGATAGTATACCTTGAATATTTTTTCAGTTTATGTAGAATTATGATGTGGATTTGCCTCTGCTTACATCATCCAGGTTGTCCATTTTTGTCGGGACCTCGCCGCCGTGCGTCATTAGACCACGCACGTGCCTTATTAAAAAACTAAAATCATCCCCTTCTTCCGTCCAAAAAAAATAAATATATATATATATATAGTATAATTTTTTAACACTATAAACCCCACTTGAATCATCATTATTTTAAATTCTGGGACATCCTCTTTGGCCGAAAACCTTCACCTCTCTCTTTTTTTTGAAAAATATTTTGGAAGTCTAATTTTTGAGCTTTAAAATAGCTTTAATGAGTTAATAGTGGGCTCCACCTATAGTGATGTGATGTTTTAGTCTTGATTTATTTTTATTTTATTTTTTTTATTCATTGCCATGTCATTAGTGTTTTATTAGAGCACCAAAATTAGTGGTCTAAATCATTACTATTTTTTTAAGGATGTTTTAGAATGATAGTTAAAAATTATTTTTTTTAATTTTTTAAAATTTTTTGTAAGAGAAGAAAGTGGGTTAAAAATTAATTTTTTTTTTTTTTTTTATCAACATTTTAAAATAAGCCTTAGTTTAACCATTCTCTTTCTTTTATTACTTTTTTCATATTTTATTCAATATTACTATGAACACAAACAATCCATACACGTAAAATTATCCATAGAATTTAGTGTAAGATCTAAATTCGCTTACATAATATATTATTTTCAAAAATACAGAAATCAATCAGAATCCCCTCATTTAAAATAGATTCCACCTGTATACGAGTCTAACACAATTATATATAATTTTATAATCTTTTTTATATTTCTAAAAAAGTATATTATTATTTTTCCAAATATATATATTTTTTGTATAAATTTTGTACGCGTATAATTATAAATTTTAAGAAAAATTACAGACAAGACAAAAAAAAATATTTATGATACTTGCCACTTTTTTATAAATACTTATTTGTTTTCCACTGAAATCTAATACGCCCTTGATTTTACACTCACCACCCTCTCTCTCCTCTCTCATCTCCCTCTCTTCTTGCTCTGTTTTGTTATATAAAGGAGTTAGGTGTTCTAATGCACATTGTCCAACTCCAAACCAACTACAATTTTTGTCAGAGAGAGAGAGAGAAGGTTGAGAATTCAATCCTTCATAGTCCTATCCATAATTCCAATATGGATTCCAACTTTATCCAATTATTCCCAAATTCAAATCAATCTTTCTCATTAGATGAGCTACTTCACTACCATAATTCACTCCCTTTCGATGTCAATGATTCCGAAGAAATGCTTCTCTTCGGAGTCCTAGCCGAAGGTGCGTCAATGGACCACTCATCATCGGAAACAGCCTCCTCCGCCGCCACGGGTGGCGGCGGAGTCAAGGAGGAGGAAGTCACCTCCATTGCAGCGTCAGAAGAAGAACCCAAGAAGGAAAAAGCATACAGAGGAGTCCGGAGGCGGCCGTGGGGGAAATTCGCGGCGGAGATTAGGGATTCGACGAGAAATGGAATCCGGGTTTGGCTCGGAACCTTCGACAGCGCGGAGGCGGCCGCCTTGGCCTACGACCAAGCGGCATTTTCGACGAGGGGGGCGATGGCGGTGCTCAATTTTCCGGTGGAGAGAGTCCGGGAATCGCTCCGGGACATCAAGTGTGGCGGCGGTGGGGAGGAGGAGGGTTGTTCTCCGGTGGTGGCGCTCAAGAAGAGACACTCAATGAGAAAGAAGTCATTGGTTGCTAAAAAAAAGAACAAGGTTAAAGACAAGGTAGTGGTGGTGTTGGAGGACTTGGGAGCAGAGTACTTGGAGCAACTACTTAGTAATTCTTCTTAGAAATGGAGGGTATTTTAGTCAAATCAACATCTCCCAAGCAACCTTTTTCCTTTTTTGGTTACATTATCATCTTTTTTTTTTCTTTTTTTTTCTTTTCAATTTTGTTTAGCTCTTCTCTCTTTGCTATTTTCAGAAAGAAGGGTACCAAATGTTTCCTTCGGGTTTCCTCAAACTGAAAATTGGCCCTCGTTTGACCTTTTTGTTCACTTGTAAATTTGGAAATTGTTAAATATTTTGAGGTTCGCCATCTCTTCGTACCGTATGTGTTTTTTTTTTTTCCCTCTCTTCCTCCTCATGTTACGAGTTTGATATATATCATGTGTGAAAAAATGTTTATTTTACTCTTATCAACTCAAACTTTTCTTTCCTTAAAATCTCAAAAGTGGTGTTATTATTAGAGACACTTTTGTCATTTCATATTCTTTTGAATTAATAATATCTGATCAAGCACTTTAAATGATTGTGGTGACACTTTTTTATTAAAAAATAGGTTTGACTTCTTTCTATTAACGTGATGTTACTTGTTTGACAAGTACATATTCAGTTAATAGAGAGAGTATTAATAACGGCTAATCAAGTACTTTGAATAATTATAAATTTGTAATGATGAAAAAGAAACTTGACATTTTTCACCAACATATGTTTCTTTTCTAACAACTAGATATTCAATTAATAGAGATATATGTCTAAAAACAAATTTTGGATGGAGAGAGAAATTTTAAGGTCAACAATAAAATGATTGCATAAACACTAAGCCAAATCAAAATGTGATGAGGTTGTCAAATTAACTATGGTAGCCATATAATTGAAAATAAGAGAGCTGTCAACAAATCAATTTATTTTTCAAACTTGTACATTAATTGTATTAATTTTAAAACATAAATCGTATTTGTTATTCTTGAAATTTCACAAGGTTCCATAAATTTCTTAATCAAGCTAATATCGCAACTAAACAATTAAAAATGGTGACAAATCTAAGATAGTTAGATTTCTCCTTGATATTTAAAAAAAATATAAAAGTCTCAAAAAATATAATAAGCTTTTGTATTGGTGCTTTATAATGAATTCACGAAATTCTATGCGCCACACAACTTGTGACAACATCGATGCTCACTCGATATGGGTCATATTGGCATTGAATTAATGAACCAAATTATTTTGTTTAAAAGTGCAGACATGATATTTTCTTTTTTATTATTTTTTTTAATTTTTAAAGTCTATGTTTTCAGATTTGGTTTTGACTTTCTTTTCCAATCGAGATACCAGAATCATAATATCAATTCCTTGCTACTTTCTTTGTGGTAGAGTTGTGACAGAACTACAACAATAGTTTCAGAGTCTCATCTGCTCATCATCCTATCCTAACATATAACTCAAAACCCTCTCACATAACAATTGAAAATCGAAAATTTTATTCACCCAAAAAACGAAAATCGGAAATTTATACTTGTATCATAAATGAACCATCTTGTTTGGTTTCGTTTTGAAATATATTTTTTCCTTTTCAAAAAATCTAAAAACTAAAAATTGAACGCACTAATCATTTACATATGATTTTTATTGTTTAGAGTGATAACCTTGCTTGTTTTCACTTTTCAAAAAACACTTTTCAGTAAATTCTACTTTCTTATTTTTCGTATTTTTTTGTTTTTATTGAATTTTTTAAATATTTTAAGTATTTTTTATTTTTTATTTTTTAGATACACCTAATATAAGTACACCTAAAAAGTAAAAAAATTATAAAAAAAATCTTTTAAAAATTCACTAAATACCAAAAATACAAACAAAATACAAGAATTCAGTACATTTTTTATATTTTTATGTATTTATTAATTTTTTAAAATATTTTTTCACAATTTTTTTACTTTTTAGATACATTTAAGTAAGGTGCATCTAAAAAAGTAAAAAAAAATGTTTAAAATTTTAAAAATATTTACTAAAAAAAAACACGAAAACTAAAAAAGTCAATTTTCAAAAAACTTAATCCAGAAAACTCAAACCAAACACATTGAATCGTTTTTTGAAAATTTAAGGTCAATTTTTTTTTGTTGTTGTTTATTTTTATCAAATTAATTTATATTTTTTGAAAAATAAAAATAAAAATGAAACGAAACGAAACAGAATAGATCTAAACCATCTTGCTTGTAGTATATCCCAAAGACCGGGACCAGCAATCAAGTAGAGGTGTTTGGGTTAGCAGAAACTGACATGGGCTTGCATAAATCCCAATATGGGCTACGAACTTAAACTATGTTGGACTCAGAGGAGCCTAAGCCCATCTAATGACTTATGTGCTAAGCCCAATTGTTCACTAATTTTGGCTGGGGTGAAGAATCGGCCGATAGTAGTGGGCTTGCGATCAATTTGTTGGGCTTCTGTTATGAACTTTCTTGGTGACAGAATCAATAGGGAAACGTCGGGTGAGAACGAGGAATTTGGCGGGAGTGGGTCACGGATCAGAAGGCGTAGGTATGGGTCAAATTGCACTGGTGGGATATGTCGGGTCGGGTCGGGTAGTTTATTATTTTTATTTTATTTTTAAAATTTCTAGATAGGTTGTTTAGGTTGATTCAGTTTAGTTTGAAGCATCTCACTCTTCACATTCATGAAATGGGTTCATATTCTGTCCTCTCTCAGTTTCTAAGGATATGCTTGGTAATTATTTCGTTTTAAGTTTTCAGTTTATATTTATAAAAATTTTAAAAATTATCATAAAAACTTGTTTGATAATTTTTTTGGTTTAAAAAGGATTGTTTCAATTTATAAATTTGAGGAAAAAACATAAACTTAAAAAATGAATTTATAAATTTTTTTTTTTCAATTTATAATTTTTTTTCAATTATAATGTGCATGATCCTTTTGTCATAAATAATAAAAATAAATATAAATATTTTAGGCCTGAACAAACATATTTTTTAGTTTATGTTTTTAAAATTTTTCAAATATTTTATTCAAATCAAACGCGTTTGTAATTTATATTTTTCTAAAAATAAACAAAAACCAATTTGTAAAATTTGCTGTTTTAGGTACCGTTTTCAATTTGTAATTGACAATATGAGAGAAGTATTAGTGGTTTGTTTGAATAATCTTGCAGTTTCAAACATCTACTTATTTAAAATTATATTTAAAAAAAAGAAAAGAAAAGTGAACATATGACCTTAATGCTTTTAAATTTCAAACAAAAAAGTAATTTTTTTCAATTTGTAATTGACAATATGAGAGAAGTATTAGTGGTTTGTTTGAATAATTTTGCAGTTTCAAACATCTGCTTATTTAAAATTATGTTAAAAATAAAAAAAGTGAACATATGACCTTAATGCTTTTAAATTTCAAACAAAAAAGTAATTTTTTTTATTTTAATTGTCAACATAAAGCTCACAAATTAGTTGAATATGTTATCTTATTTAAAATCATATTTTATAAATTAATACATAGTGTTCCAATTAGATTATGAGCAAATACAAATTAATTTTACATATACATAATAATGGGCCAGGTCAATTTATAAAAGTTAACGAATTTTAACCGACAATTCACTTGCCAAATTTTATCGTTTAATCCCTCTAATCTAATCCAACCTAACATTTTCACCTTTTCAAACCGAACATGAGTCAATTTTGGTGGGCTGTGTTATATTTTTTTACACTCTAGCTTGGTGTATAATAATCAACAATATCCCAATGACCCAAACCATTTTTATTGGAAGTCAACATGAGTAGGTGTTGATATGTAGGATCCATATTTGCTTGGAATTTAGATTAGCAGTTGGTGTAAATTCAACTACATGGACAGCAAGAGAGAGATAAATGTGAGACAAGCTTTGCACTTGTTTTGTTTCCCTGCCTAGTGTTGGACACAGTGACGTAATTAGGAATTTCAATCAGTGGTGTCATTTAACAAGTCATCGTTAATGTCATTATCTTATATTTTTAGTCTTACAAAACTTATTTATAATATTAGCATTCGCATGATACTTGTATATCACATGTATATTTTCAATTACGTTGAAAAAAAATAATTCAAATTACTAAATTAAAAAATTTTAATATTTCAAAAAAAATAATAAAAAACTTTTTATAAGATTAAACACTACAGTGGTCGTTAGAGAACTATATAGCCGAGACTCGAGGGAGAACAAATTGTTAGAATTATTCGAGGATAAACGCAACATAACTATATGTTAGAATTATTTGAGACATCCAACATAAAATCAATTGGTTATGTGCAGAGTAGCCTTCAAATTATATAATTCAAACTTAGGTGATTTAGAGAAGATGTGTGGATGAATCGAACTTGGGTAGTTTAGAGAAGTGACATGGGACAAATCTCAAATAAATAGACAAATAAATCAACAAATAAGGGGCACAAAGACAAACAAAATAGATTACGTTATGACACTAATTGGCCATAAATGGAGTATTTGCCAGATTATATGAACTCAACTTGAGTGGTTTAAAAAAATGCTATGGAATAAGTCTCTAACATGAATTTATTTACAGAAGATTAAAAATGTAGCATAAGGTTTGATTTTTGTTTTTAACTCCACTGGGTCAATTTGTAAACTTTCAAAATTAGTATTTTATTTCTAGATCTATTGGGTTCAATTTGTTAATACTCAAAACTTTTATATGGAATTTACATATACTCTTTAACAAAATTTTGAAATTCAGTGGTGTCAAATGACACCACTGCCATCAAGATAGCTACGCCCCAGGTTGGACATAATTTTAGGCTCCGTTTGTGATATATATTTGGATTAAAATAGTCACATAGGACAAAATAAGTTGTTTTAGTTAAATAAGATAAAATGTCACATCTAATCCATAATCATTTTCTTTTTTTTCTCACAAAAGTCTAAAAAGTTAAAAAAAAAATTATTCCAAACGAGACTTTTTAAACCAAAACTAAAATAATTAAAAAGTCAAAAAATTAAAAAATCAACCCACAATTCAAACAAACTCTTAATGAGATAATTTGTACCTTATTTTCTCCGTAGTCAAATTTGAACAACATATAGGTAGGCAGATGTCAGTCGTGCTGCACTTTTAAATTCCACAGATTGGGGGTTTAGTGTAGTTATCATGCAATACCAAAGAGACTTTGCTAACCTCTTGTTATGTGTGGTTCAAAGTGTGCACGTCTATTTTCCGATGTACCTAAAAAGAAAAAAAAGACAGAGAGTTGCCTTTTTAAACCCATGTTCAAGTCAAGAAGGTAGTGACATTTTAGATTAAAGAATATTTAGTGTCACAAATATTCTGCAGAATCTTTCACAATTGCATAAAATATTTGAAATTCAATATTGTTGGTTGAGATTATCAACCGGTGAAAAACCAACGACTTCTAAACACTTTTAACTATGTTTGTTTTGAGAAATAATAGGTCATAGAATTGGATTACAGATCTCGATGATTCTCAAATCTCAAATTTGGATAGAAAAGTAATTTTTTAGATTAATAGCACAAACATGATAACGATCTATTTAGTACAACTTTTGTAAAGTGAAAAAGTTACTAATAAATTATGACGTACGATAATCAACTTCTTATTTTATTTATTTATTTATTTAAACTATTTTTATCTCATATATTATAAATAAAAATTATAGCAAATACTTATTTTTAAATTAAACAAAAAAAATAATTTTAATAAAACCAAACACGTTTATATAAAACCTTTTAATGCGGGCAACCAAACTCCATGCATCGGATCATTTACATGAGGTGAATGGCTTCTAATTTAGTGACACTTTCTCACCTATCATATGTGAGAATTAGGGTTCAGCTATCGTCATAAATGAAAACAGTGATATCGCTAATTTATCTTGTAAAATTTGATAACTACTACAAATTCAACTACTTCTCTGTCGCTTAACAACTTTCATTTCTTACACTCTTACACTGTATTTGGTTGGAAGATTTGAAAATAGAAAGGAAAAATATGTGTGAAATTAAATAAAATATAAGTATATTTTATTCACATTTCACTTATTTTTTTCTCTTTTCATTTCCAAATCGTTTTCCAAATCTCTCTTAAAGTGTATCTGAAATTCTTAAGGGAAAAAAAAAAAAAAGTAGACATTTGCAAGAGTGAATGACAGAGTGAGTAATCTAACTCTTAGCACTAGGGGTCCCTCAAGATATAAGGTCGGTAAAGTTTCAGATTTGCACATTGACTAGCTTTTCAACAATTGATCAAAATTTTCCACTTCTAAATTCAAAGCTTGTAGATATATGTAGGGTCACTTCCTTTAAAAGCTTGACACAAAAGGATGGTGCACGCGTCCATTCTTGCGAGAAAATGTCAAGATTTTGGATATGATGCCTTTAAACTCAATTAGCTTTGAAAGTTTGCTTTGTTATTTTATTTTATATTATTTATTTATTTAATGCACTAGTTTGAAATGGTTGGAAGAAAAATCATTTAAAACAAGATATTTTCCTTATTGTAAAATTTAATTTTTTTTAAATGTAGTAAAAAGGTATGACAAAAAAAAAAAATACTAAATTTTCTTTCACACTCACCACAAAAGTCAGCTAGTAATCAGATTTCTCACCATTTACGAAAATCCTTTTAACACAAAAACATTCATAAATTTTTATGACATTTGGATTGGGATACTCCAACTAGGGATTCCTTGCCCAAGATAAAACTATGCCCAATTCTTCCCAATCCAATAATCACTGAGGTCTCTCCATCCATCTTGACAGGGTAAGTAGCTAGTACTTTGATTACTTTGTACCAAAAAAAGAAAAGAAAAAAGGAAGTAGCTAGTAGTGCATTAAACATTAATTAAACTAGCGGTTAGCAGAGGCAACGCGTGTGCCGAGTTAAATAAATAAAATAAAATAAAATATTCAACATGTATTTGTTGTAACCTAATTTGGTAAGAGTTTTCTCTATTAACTTTGTAGCCTTAAATTCGAGTCCTGTTCCATCATGTTAATTAACTTTTTTGTATAAATAACTGGACACTTGACATATAGAGAGACAATTTTAAAACACCAATCTAAGTGTTCACATGTATAATAATATAGATAAGATAAATGACACACTCTATTGTTACCCAATTTACCCAATGTCGATGCGGAAAACCATAACTGGCTTTTTACCTAATTTGTGACATCATCACTATAATAGAATTAACACCCACCTAAATTTTTTATACATTTCAAAGAGGACTGACTTTTTTAGCTGTGTATATACTTGAGGGTCCATGTTCACTGAACATATTATTATTTTTTTTTTTGATTCAAGAACATATTATTGTATGTACCAAAGTCTTTTTTTTTTTCTCATTATTTTCTTTACTGATTTAGTTTAATCGTCAAGACACTTCAAAATCAAATGATTCCACCTACCAATGTTTGAATTCCTCCACAAAATAATAGCAAACACTAGCTATAATTAAATGGTGAAGAATAAAGAGACAAAAACTGGGTTGTTTGATCTTTTGGTGTAAAAATATTTTTAATTAAGAGTAGTTAGTGGCGTAAAAATCAACACTGAAAGTAATATAAGGAAATATTTATTTTGCGTGTCACTTTATGTGATTCAATTTTATATTTAAGAATTTCTTTAGATGGGATAATCATGTTTTTTTTTTTAGTTCTAACTAGTTCTAACTAACTCAAACAAAGCAAATATTTTGATTTTAATCTTTACTATATGAAAATGCTAAAATCTTCTCACCAATTTTTATTTATTCAATTATTGATATTATTATTATTATTATTATTATTATTATTATTTAGGGAGATATTATTTTTGTTGAAATTCAAATTCAATTAAAGAATGGCATATCATGCATTTTCAAAAATAATCATTCAATTTAGTAATTAACAAATGACATTGTCACAACCGCACATCTTTTCATCATTGGTATGACATCAACACCTATGAATTGTGAGATCTGCATTGAATAATTTTTTCACTCTTACAAAGTTAGTGATATGTAGTCAAATATTAACTTTAATATCTGACTAAAAGTCATTACAGTCTAACTTATACAACCATCTTATAATTGTTCAAAGACAAATACTGATTAGTATTCTTAGAACATTGTTTAATGTTAAAAATTATGCAAAAAAAATGATTTGCAAATAATACAAAAAATATTAAAAGTTTTAAATTCAATTAAAAATATTTTAAAATAAGTATAAAAAATGTTATTTATTTTTATATTATTTTTCTAATACCTCTAGATATTTGTTATCAAGACTCTTGGTAAAATCGCACTACTAGCCTCTTTCTTTGATCCCATTCACTCCATTCATGATAAGTTACAAAATACTTTCAAATTATAAAAAGTTTTAAATTCAATTAAAAGTATTCTAAAATAAGTATAAAAAAATATTATTTATTTTTGTATTATTTTTCTAATACCTCTAGATATTTGTTATCAAGACTCTTGGTAAAATGGCACTACTAGCCTCTTTCTTTCATCCCATTCACTCCATTCATGGTAAGTTACAAAATACTTTCAAATTTCAACATTAAAATGGAAATGGAAATGGCATCACTTGTATGTAGGCATTAACTCTTTAAATTTAAATTTATGTCATTTTTATCAATAGTATTAAAACATCATCTTTTCGTATTACAATTTATTTATTATTTTATATGTCACACCCTTATTAACATATAAAATAAAAAAATAAATATTATAATCATAGTTTTATTGAATTTTCTTTCCTTGACACTCAATGAAGTTTGACTCAAGTTGTCTATAACGCTTCCTCTGTTTCCATTAAGCCTTACGACACCTTATATATTTATGTCATCCATTCAAGTTGGCATGTGTGTGACCCAATCATACTTTAGCAAGTAAACTAAATGATTGATACAACTTTGATTGCTAGATTATTTTTTATTAAATTAAACTGGTGGGTATGTGTGAAATTCAAATCAGTAAAAATAAAATAAAAAATTATAATATATTGTGTGTTGCTCTATTGATAAAAACCTTTTTTAATAGACCTAACGTCTTAATTCAAGCCCTACCCTCTCCTCAGGATGATTATGAATGAGATTATAAAGATATAATTACTTTTAACCATTAAAAAAGGAAAATAATTAGATGCTTATCCTCTAATACCACAATTCTATGATAATACTTGGTTCATATTTTCTCTCATTTAATTCCATACTAGTATTAAAATCATGTGAAAATTTCATACTACATTAAACAAATGTGGATCCTGATTTTCCCTTCCATGATTTAATAAAAAAAAAAATTGTCTTATCCCACAATCAAATGTGAAATTAAAATGCAAGTGAGACTCAATTATTTCTCACCTCTTATTCCTAATAATATTGCAATCAAACTTGAAATTAAAATGCAAGTGGGACTCAAATGCTTCCCACTGTACATTATAGTAATTATATTTACATATCATGTTTACATTTAAAACACACTAAACACATATGTCATCTCATGCCTTCTAGCTTGTCAACAAAAATAAATTAATATTATTTTATAAAGCACAACATAAATAATATCACATAAAATTTTGCTACTACTATAATATTGTGGTAGTTCACAAATTACCCACGTTTTATTTGACCTAACATGTAATCCAATTATTATATCAGAAATGTCGTAGTTAGAGAGAGAGAGAGAGTGAGAGAGAGAGAGAGAGAGAGGAGGCAAGTTGGCAAGTGAGGGCGGGATACCAACCTATGGAAATGTTGTACTTTGGACTATTTAAAGCAGCAGCAGCAGCGAGCTAGCACACCCCACTACCACAACCTCATCTTATATATTAGTGGAGTCTCTCATCATCATTCTTGACAAATATAGCCTCTCAATTCAAGTCCCTCAAAATCATTTTAAGCACTATATAATAAAGTCTTATATACTAAGAGAGAGAGAGAGAGAGAGAGAGAGAGAGAGAGAGAGAGGAGGCAAGTTGGCAAGTGAGGGCGGGATACCAACCTTTGGAAATGTTGTACTTTGGACTATTTAAAGCAGCAGCAGCGAGCTAGCACACCCCACTACCACAACCTCATCTTAGATATTAGTGGAGTCTCTCATCATCATTCTTGACAAATATAGCCTCTCAATTCAAGTCCCTCAAAATCATTTTAAGCACTATATAATAAAGTCTTATATACTAAAAACTTTGGAAAGATTGAGAGAACCAAAGATGGTGAGAGCTCCATGCTGTGAGAAGATGGGATTGAAGAGAGGTCCATGGACTCCTCAAGAAGATCACATACTCATTAATTATATCAATCTCTATGGTCATAGCAATTGGCGTGCTCTTCCCAAACAAGCCGGTAATAATTCGCATCTGGGTTTCTCTTTATGATGGTATAGAGAGTGTAATCTTCATTCGGACATTTTTATAAAACATTTAACTGATGTCGTGATGTTTTGTTTGTTTTCTGATCAGGTTTATTGAGGTGTGGGAAGAGTTGCAGGCTCCGATGGGCGAACTACTTGAAGCCAGACATTAAACGAGGAAACTTCAGTGAAGAAGAAGAGGAGACCATCATAAAATTGCATGAAAAGTTGGGAAACAGGTGTGTGATTGATTTTTGTGTCCTATATCTTTTTATATGTCAGAATATTGGACAAATTCCAAACACATTCCTTAATTTTGCTTAAATTATAAATTATCTCATATAGTTCTAGAAATTACATTACACCCTCTAAAGTTTCTAATTTCATAACAAATAAGTCTTTTTATTAATAAATCATCAAATTAATTAACAATTTTTAATAATGTTAAAATTTTATTTCAATAAATAATTCAGATAATTTTATTATTATATAGGTGAACAGTTAGAAATTTTATTTTTTCAATTAATTCTGTTAAATAAAAAATTTTGACAGAGAAATATTCGTAATTTTTAAAATCACAAGAAATAATTCGTATTTTAAGCAAAAATCTAAAGTGTATTTGTAATTTATCTTAGAATATTTTAAAGTATGATATAATAATTAGAAGTGTCATCAGATATTAAGATAAAAAAAATTGGAGATGGAGAACTAAGTGCCCTTATAGAGAAGGAGATTTTTACCACTGTGAATAGCAAGATTTAACATATTAATTCAACTAATTCAAATCTTTATATAATCTTTCAATTGCAGATGGTCAGCCATCGCAGCAAGATTACCGGGACGAACCGACAACGAAATAAAAAATGTGTGGCATACCCACTTGAAAAAGAGACTCAAACAAAAGCAGCCCACCCAGCTGGAGCAGGAAATCAAACCACCACACTCCATCAAAATCCAGAAAAATGATCAAGTCACAGAGAAAGAACCAGAAGAAGCCACCATGACTTATCCAAATGCAGTCGTGAGGCTTCAAAGCCCGGAACATTCAGCCAGTGACATCTCTTCCATCACCACCACCAGCACTGACAACACCACAACCACCAACACCACTTCTATGGACGATGATGCATTTGACAACTTCCCCGTGGTGGACGAGAATTTTTGGTCAGACGTGTTCTCGGTTGACAATTCCGGCGAGATGGATGATTTTCCGGTAGCTGGAGCTGACCCAGATGCTCAATTTCAATTATCACCTCGTCTTCATGCAATGGAACATATTTGTGGTGGCAACAATTCAAGCATGCATGATGGCATGGACTTTTGGTTCAACCTCTTTACAAAAGCTGGGGGATTACCAGAATTGCCAGAATTTTAGCAGAGTTTCAATTGTATTTTTCTTTTTTCTTTTTTCTTTTTTTAGATTTTAATTTTTTGGCGTCTAGCTTTTGACCGTTAAATATTGTGAAAGTAAGTGAAAGCTGGCTTCAATATCTTTGATTGATTATTCATGAACCAAACAAAAAAGTTGTCTGTCTGTTACAGCATTTTCCATACAAAATAATAAACGAGGAACATCATGGCAATGACTTGTGAAAGCATCAAGCACCTGTAGAAACAGTGACAGCATGGAAAATATTTATATAAAAAAAAATTATTTGATTTTTTTTTATCACAAAATAGAAAATTATGAGCTGTATTTATTAATGGAATGACTTGTCTGATACTCAAACACTATACTCAAACACTGGGTCTAATGGGAGGGAGAGAGGGGTCCAGGGGGGTTTTACCTCGGCCAAGATTTTTTGGATACTTTTGTGATTTTTATGTTGCTTTCATATAACCATAATTCTATACTTATAAATAGATTGGGGCATGTTAAGAGAGAGTTATATTTTTCTGATTATAGTGAAAATCGCAGCAATCGTGGACGTAATCTTATTCTGGGGTAAATCACGTAAATTCTTGTGTTTTTGTGTTTGATTTGTTTGATTTATTTGATTCGTTTTTTCTTTCTTGTTTATTATTTCGTGTCTCACCGATCTTGGTTAGGAATGGTCAATTCCTAACATTATCTCCATTTAAAATTTTAATTGGACCAGACAATTGAGATCTCTGATCGGTAAGAATTATTAAACGGAAGACTCTGACCTATAAGAATCAAGAAACAGAAGACACTTACCATTTAGAGACTTTGACAAAATTCAACGGGGCTATGTTTTCATATCCTCTTATCCGTAAGTGTCTTTCATTTAATGACTCTTATCGATCAAAGACTCCAATTATCTGGTCTAGTTCAACTTTTAATTTAGTTAGATCTCACTAAGGTTGTATCTTTTGCTTATGGTTTACTTACTACCGTGATGTTAATTAATCATAGTTCATCTCTGTGAAATTACTATTGTTATGATGATGATGATGACAACAGATATTAAATGTTTACTATATAACAAAACTGTTTATAATCAAGCATGTATGGCTCCATTATCATAAATCACAAGTGGATTTGAATAATGGTCACCCAATAAACTATATATAAAGCATAGCATAGCTTTCTAAGGACCAAGATTATACTATACACACTTCAATCAATAATGTTTGTCAAGGCTAGGTCTACCATGGCATACTGATCAGGGACGCTATTCCTTAGTCCAACACCACTAGATTTTGGAGTCACAAATTCTTCAAATAAACTAAGTATTAATAAGAAATGAACTTTTTTTTTAAAATATATATATATATATATATTGGTGATAGATCCAATTTGAAGGGTGCCTGAGGCATGAGATTCAATGAATATTTTTTATTATTGATAGATCCAATTTTTGTGAAATAATTTGGTGAGAAATCTTTTTTTTATTGTTTTGAAGGATTTTTGTTTTCAATTTTACCTCTTAATTTATTTGTTGACTTTCGTTGACTATCTATTCAAATTTTTTTTATCTGTTCAAAATTTTTTACACTATTTGTTTAATTTTTTAATCTTTTCAATTCAAAATTTTCTTATCTGTTTAAATATTTGTCAAAATAAAATTCTATCTGTCAAATTTTTTGTCTATCTATTCAATTTTTCCCTTATCTGTTCAATATTTTTTTTAATCTTTTCAGTTCAATTTTTGTTCCTATTAGTCAAACCAACTCTATCTGACATCAAAGTCTTTTCTATCTGTTGAAATTTTGTATTTATCAATTGCAATTCGTAGAGAGATGATAGAGTTATCTGTTGCAATATCAAGCTAATTAAACCAAACATATCTGTTAAAAAATTATTATTTTTCTATTTGTTCAAATATCTCTCTATCTCATCTAGTCAACACAAACAAGAACAAGAAAAAATGGTCCGATTTGTTTCATTTTCATTAACATCAACATTATCAACAACATCATCAAAATCAACATCAACAACCAAAATAACTAAAACTATAACTACATACATATACATGTATACATACACAACAGATCAGCTACAAAAAAAAAAAAAATCTGGAGACAGAGATAGAGATACGTACACACATACATATATACATACACACATATATGAAATCCAAGTGTGTATCATCAACATAGATTTGAGATCTGTGTATCATCAAACAAATCTTAGATCTATATATCTGAGTATGTGTCACAGAGAGAGAGAGAGTGAGAGAGATATAAGAAAAGAGATTATGTGGTGTGTCAACGACGATGGACGATGGAGAATGATGGCGTAAGGTGTAGGAGAGAGTGAACCGACGCCAGCAACGACTGTAACTTTTTTTCAAATCTGAGGTGGCGTCGGCAACGTCTGCCTAGATCTGTTGTGGTGGAGGGAACTGTCACGACCCAAACCCGTCCCTATGAGTTTAGCACCGTAACCGACCAGTAATCCAAGATTACCGAAGGCCTACTTAACAGTAAAACAGTAATACAGAGTACAGGGGCTGACGGAAGCCAAAACAGTAATTAAAAGATGTCTAATGAGCTATGACAGTCTGTATGTAAAAAGACTTTTCAAAACATATTCACATTCAAGACAAAACAGCATATACAAACATTATATACAATCATTCAGGTTAGGGACCAAGTCCCTACCATGACAGTACAGTACAGGTCTATACAGTCTATACAAAACAGATACAGAAAGGGGAAAATCTAAAACACCCCGAAGCAGCCTTAGCTTGGCAGCACTTGGAACCTCAAGGTGAGGCACGATGGTTGGCTTGACAAAACAAGAGCTAATCCAACGCTCCTAACTCCGGTCCGGTGCCTGAACACTTACATATATACATAAACAATGAGCTAAAACCTAGGGACTAACATATGCGTAAAGAGGTTAAGAATGAATTTCCTTTCAGTATTGAAAATAGTTATTTATCAGTATATCAGTCTTTCAAATTGTAGCTCATAATTCATGCCATAACAGTCATTCAAAAACTATAATAGTTATATGTGGTACATCCAATAGCAAAATAATACAGTAGGTCTTAACAGACCGAACAGTTAATGATGGCCATCATATCAGTAGACAGTAAGCGTGGGAACCGACAGAGATCTTTGTAACAGTAGTAGTAACAGTTCAGTAACAGTAAATTGCTATGGATGCCACGAATACAGTTCACAAATAGGACAAATATTCATTCAGTAAACAGTGTCATTTCATAAAGCAGTACAGTCATTTGTTCAGAAAATAATCTCAATTGAACATATCTTTACAACATTGTTACTCACAGAGTTCTGGGCTACAGATAAGCTAGTACGCGTCCTCGGATGCCAATCTTACATAGTTACAGAACGAACACACACTAAGCTACACAGTTGGGAAATAATAACTTAATCCCTAATTTGCCTCGTGTAGACACCCCATTTTTTACCGCCTTTAAGACTTGGACGTGACTGATGGTTTTGGAAGTTGTATAGGGGAAAAGTTCAGTTTCTTCGGCAAGGAGAGAGTCAAATGTCAACTTCATACCCCTTTTTGGACCAAAACACTCTTGATCAAAAGATTTTAGACCTTAAAACCCTCTCTTTCAAAACGTTTCTGAAATAAATTTTTTACAATATTCCGAGGCTCGCATTTTGTCAAATATTGCGCTTTTCAGTAAACCGAGCAAGGACAAAGTGAAAATGAATGAAAGAGAGATGAAATTTTTGAAAAAAATTTCAAAACACCTTGTCTAGGGGTTTGGAGTTGAAGAAAAGAGGAGAAGAGAGAGGAAAACTAGTTTGGGAGAAGTTCGGCATGAATCTGGGTAGGACCGAAACTGCGCGACTCCACCGAAACGGGCATAACTCTTTGCACAGGGGAAATTTTGATGCAAGGTTGGTGCCATTGGAAAGCTAACTTCTAGGGCTTCAATGTGGCCACATGGCCAACCAGAAAATCTAATGGAAGACCAGAAAAATCAGGTGGTCAAAAGTGGTTCGGCATGAATCTGGGAGGACCAAAACTGCGCGGCTTCACTGAAACGGGCATAACTCTTTGCACAGGAGGAATTTAGATGTGAGGCCATTTACATTGGAAAGGAGACTTCTGGGGCTTCATTTTTCACTCAAAAATCTTCTAAATCAAAGTCCCGGTGGGGGAGATATGGTTGGTTGAAGTCCGGTTGGACCGAATCTGCGCGGCTTCACCAAAACAGGCATAACTTTTTGCACAGGAGGAATTTTAATGCAAGGTTTGCGGCATTGGAAAGCTAACTTCAAGGGATTCATGGCCGACCAGCTGTAGGCCTTGAACCTTTTGAACCCTGGTCGACCGATCAGGGCAAGTGGTCGGCCGACCACTTGAACTGGTCGGCCAGCTACCCTCTGTTTTGTCTCTCTGAGTGTGTTCCAGCTGTGCCAGCTGTGAAGCAATTGACCCACTGTCCGAGATTTGAGCCCTTTGTTTATCTTCTTAAGCAAGCTTTAGTTCCTTTTCTTAGCTTCTAAGAGAAGCTTGACCCTTTTGGTTAGCTTCCTTTAGAAGCTTACACCCTTTACTTGAGACTTCCTAGAGAAGCCATGGCCCTTTGTTTTCTATAAGACAAGATCTCAACTCCATTTTGCAAGGTTAGAAAATTTAGCCAAGGGATATACACTCCTCCCTCCATAGCCTTCTTCTTCAAAGCTCCAAACCCTAATATTCTTGCACCATTTGCACTACACCTCATAGCCTACCACCTCCACCAACCATTTCAGCATCTTGGAGGTCATTTGCAGAGCTTGAGAAGTCACATTTTTGGTCCAGAAGTTGTTGAGGGTCGGTTCTACAAGGGTAACCCTCTATTTTTCCCATTTTTACATTATTTTGCTCCATAGTTTAGCCTTATTTGAAAGCATTTTTGGACTTCGACATAAACTTAAAAAAGTCTTGTTTTGATCTTATAAACATGTTTGTTTAAGAACTTTTTTCTGTTGGGGGTCATCTTCCCCCTTGTATGCTCCATTTCCTCATATTTAGGGCTATGCATTAGAGCATTTGCATTGGCCTTGGTTTGGCCTTTTGGCCACTGAAATCCAATGAACTTTCAGTGGCCAATATGTGTCTTTGAGCTCCAAAATCATAGAGAGGTGACCCTCTCACCCCTCATTCTCTTTACTAGCTTTGTTGGCCTTCCAAAGGAGCTCCATTTTGCATGTT